ATGGCCGCCCGCTCGACCGAGAAGGGGAGCCCATCAGCGATCGCAAGATTATACACCTACGGCTTCGACCTCGTCAGCCACGTCCAGTCAGCGAGCGCGGCGTCCCCGCCTTCCTCTTCGAATCCAAGCACTACAAGTTCTACTACAATCGCCTTGTCGAGATGGCCGACCTCTCTGCCGACCCCATCTCGAACTGGCGTACTATGAAGCACGCAATGAAGATGGCGGCGTGCAAGGCTCGCGACACAATCACATCTGTCTCCGCCTCCGAGATCAAGCCGTTTGAGTGCCGAAATGAAGACCCACACGTCATAGCAGAGGCACGTGCATTCACACTCCGCAGCATTGCCAGGGCCGCCTGGTACCTAGACCCCACTCTCGCCCAGCGACTTCGAGAGGACACCGCTGCTGGAGCACAGCACATCGACATCAGTCACCACAGGATCTCTCTAGTCGACCGCTCCGCGTTCGAGACCGAGCACTCCGCCATGCAGCTTCAGATTGCTGAACAACGACGTCGCGCTGCTGCCGCCCGCTCGCGGGCTGCCTGCGCGGAACAACGACCTGACCTTGGTGAACGATGGCGTCGTCGTGCTCGTCGCATTGGACAGCGCAGCGAGATCTGGCAGCCGTTCTCGAAGCGCTTGATTCTTGCAGGCGCCCGCATCACCGACAGCAGAGGCCCGACAGCCGCCAACGACCCAATGGACATGCACAACGCTATTCAATCTCACTGGTCGAAGGTGCTCGCTGCTAAGCATGTTGACACCCCAGCGATGCAGCAATATCTGGACATGGTCTTCCCACCAATGCCTCCACGCCACCTGCCCTTACCTGGGATTGAAGAACTCCAAGCTGCTGCTAAACACGCCAGTGACTCTGCTCCTGGGCCTGACGGACTGCCTTATCGAGCATGGGTACGATCAGAAGACAGCATCGAGATCCTCCACGCACTTCTCCAATCCATTGCTCACGGTGGACCGATCCCTCACGACCTGAACTACGCGCTCATGGCCATGCTTCCCAAGGGTGATGAGCCCATGGGCAATTACGAGTGCTCGCGCAGTCCTGACTGTCTTCGCCCCCTCGCCATGAAGAACAGCGACATCAAGATCATCGCCTCCGCGACGAACCGCATCCTCAGCTCCGTGGCGTCGGGCACCGAGGAAGAACAACAAGGTTTTGCCAGTGGCCGTCAATTTCTCTCCAACATTGTCAAAGTGGACACCAGCGCCCGCATCGCCAGCATCAACAGCGATGCCTCCAGCATGATGCCCTGCTTCGCCAGCATGAACATCGCCGCAGCGTTTCCGAGCCTCACGCACACGTGGTTGTGGGCTACTCTAAGGCGGTGGGGCATCCACGGCATCTTCTTCAATCCCCTGCAGTGCTGCACAACATTCCCCTTGCCTTCCTCGACCTAAGTGGTATTCGGCGACCGCTACTTCTAGCAGAATCTGGGGTTGCGCAAGGATGCCCCTTGAGCGGCGCGCTCTGGGCGCTAGTCTTCGATCCCATCATCAAGGGCCCCAAGATGGAACTTACTGCTTTGGGTAGAGGCCTGCTCAGCGCATGCGCCGACGACCTGGGTATAGTTCTTGCTGCTCTTCGGGATCTTGGCGCCCTACTACCACACCTGCAAGCTGCACAACATCACGCTGGACTCCGCCTCCAACCGAAGAAATGCGTCCTCGCGCCCACCTGGCCCCTGCCAACGCCCGAGATCACCGCGAGCACGCGTGCCATCCTGACCCAGCTCTACGAGCCGTGGCAAGACTTCTCCATCAATAGCTTTGCGCGCTACCTCGGCGTGCACATCGGCCCCAGCGCTTCTCTCGACCGTCAATGGCAAGGTCCTGCCAACAAGTGGTGGGAGCGCACCCAGATCCTGAGCGACTCCTACGCCCCCATCCAGCAGTGCATCAAGATGTACAATTCCGCTGCCGTCACATGCCTCTCGTACGCCGGCCAGCTCTACCCGCCTTCCCCAGCATTCCTGTCCAAGGAGATTCACGGGTTCCACAAGCTGATCCGAGCTGCCCCATCAAGCTTCACGAAGATGGACATCCTGTCGTTCTCGCTATGGGCATCCGCCACGATCCCACAGGGCATTGAAACGCTTCTCGCAGCAACGATGTGGCGCGCCTCCACGACCACCATCCCTGGATGGCAGCCTCTGCTTCACGTACTCCGTGCCCATGCTGAAGAACTTCTCCCGCTACGAGATGTTGTTGTTGGCAAATGGTCTGCCTCATGCTGGATTGACGTCACTTCCATCGTGCAGCGATTCGACGACACACTTCACAATAAGCTGATCACGACGGGCAAAAGATCCATCTTCAAGATTCTCACGCGATCCACAGGATCTACGGTGAATGCCGCCCAGATACTTCAACGAGCACATGCGCAAGCTGCTGCTGCTGGACGACACGCTATCATGGCATCCCGTCGTGACAAGGCGGAGGATCGGTACACGCACAGTCGTGACAGGACTGGAGCC